TACCGTGCCTAAGAAACATGAATGTCAAGTGAGTGATAGACCGCATGATCGGGATTTCCCATAATTATAAAAAAAAAATGCTAAAGCAAAAAAGAGAAAAGAGAGCTAAAAAAAAGAGTAGAAAGCCTCAAGCATAAAAATATAAAGATTTAAAAGCAAGATTGCACACCTTGGGGGCTTATCTAGGGTCTTGAGCCTTTATCCCTTTCTTCTATAACCATTAGCCTAACCACGTTACAACCCTTAAAAAGACCTTTTTGAGGTATATACACACTTGTGCGAGGTTCGGCTAGAGCTATGTTCGGCCTGATTCCTAACGGATACGTAGGCAACCTCACATCGAGGTGCGACCGTAATAAACATGCATTCATATTCACATTCACACACCATGATCATATCAAGAGATCTCCTATGCTCATCCCTTTTCATTTAGAGATAGACTTGGGGGCTTGATCCCTACATCATTAGCTTACCTAACCTAAAAGTCACCATCGTTTGAATCTTCTTGAAATAATATCTTTTTCCACACACTTAGCCCTTGCAACCTAGCTTTAGTATCACTTTCACACACCGCACAAATACGTGACCAAATAGTCCTACCCTTAGGGACCCTTTGTCATGAAATCTTAACACAACGTTGAAGCATGCCTTGTCATATCAACATCACTCATCAATCATAATCATCATTGCATCACAAAGTATGAAGTGATTAGCCTCCATGCCTAAGTTACCCAAATGCTTTCATCATTGAGTCAACAATTGAGATAGCCTAGGATGGATTAATCCTTGCATCTTGAGGGATAGTATCAAACAACATTTGACTAAGCTCATTCAACATGCACCTTCAAAAACTACACTTTGATTCTTTTTCGCGTCTTTCTTTTTCGGAAGAAAGTTGGTATCCTCCACAAAAATGACAAAATTTTTGCTTTTTTGCATTTTCGAGTCGCACGATCACATTACGATGCACACACGAGTCATGTACACGTTGAGTCATGTCATGATATATCACCTTGGTTTGAGTCTAACACATGTGTCAAACACTTTGAGTCGAGTTAGCCTCGAGTCAATCATAGCGAGTCAAGTTTATACGTTGAGTCATGTCAAGTCAATGATTCAACCAATACTAAACCTTAGGTCAACCCTAAAGAAAGATAAGCAAAATCCTATAGTCAAAGATATAAATGCAGGTGCATCCTAGCAAGCGGGGACATTCCCGGAATTTTTTTTAAAAAAAAAACCGCGAATATGACACTGGAGATTCCTCCAAGATAAGAGGAGTTACTTTGATCGGTAAATTAGAGATGAAGAGCTTTAATTTACAAAAGACTTGAGCATATTTGGTTGAAAGGAAACGACCAAGCTCAAAGTTCGGAGCGAAACCGAGCAACATCGGTAGAAAATCAGAATAGGGAAGACCCGACACCAGCGCCAGACGGCAACATCCAGCGTCTTGCAATAGATTTCAGCGCCTGGCGCTAGATCCCAGCGTATGGTGACAGAGCCAATTCTTGGCGCTAGCAGAATTTCCGTGGCGACAGGGATCGAAGCCTTATACAGCAATTTCGGGTTCCTTGGTACGCCAGTTAGCCCCTATAAGCAATTTAACATGATTAGGTAGTCGGCTTATTACAATCCCAATAAGTGATCAACCTGATGAATGATCGTCTCACTTAGCTTAAAGCGCCTAAGCATTGGCTCAGCAAAGGCACCAACATAATGGTTCATACAATTCAAAACATCTACATACTGGTTCAGAAGACACCGAAATACTGGTTCAGAAGCACCGACATACTGGTTCATAAACAGCAGAGACACCGACTTAATGGTTCACAAGCAGCAAAAGCGCCGACGTACTGGTATAGTGGAAGCAAAGTTCAATCGAGCTTTAATGATCGACAAGCGTTGGTCTTCGGTAGTTTTCTTCGGAATATTATCGCAACAACTAAGGATGACTTCAAGAGAGGTTATTTTAGACAGCATTCTCTAAGATTGTGGAGGTTGTCACCAAGATTTGAGAAGATAGCACGAGATTGGCGGTCTTTGACAGCATTTGATAAGATTGTGGAGGTTGTCACCAAGATTTGAGAAGATAGCACGAGATGGGCGGTTTTCGACAGCATTCTCTAAGATTGTGGAGGTTGTCACCAAGATTTGAGAAGATAGCACGAGGTGGCGTCTTCGACAGCATTCGCTAAGATTGTGGAGGTTGTCACCAAGATTCTAGAAGATAGCACGAAATGGGCGGTCTTCGACAACATTCTCTAAGATTGTGGAGGTTGTCACCGAGATTTGAGAAGGGCGGTTCGTGATGAGGCGGTCTTCGGTCGACTTTTGCTATGATTGGGAAGGTTGACGCTATGATTCAAGAAAAAGAAGCTCTTCGTTCAGAGATGTGTGGACCTATCCAAAAATAAAAGTTTTATTGTTCAGAGACGAGTGAACATCAAAACAGCAACATAGCGTTCCATAGATTATGGAAGGCTGTCAACAACAACAATGCAACATCAATAAATCGGTTAGTGACAGAGACGTGTGCTCGACGGTGCAAGATACGCGTTTCTTAACTCTTTTATCTGTTTAACTAACGCTAGTTTTGCAGGTATCGGCGTTACAAGAATGATTTAGGATCGCAGAACGTTCTGAATAATTCTCCGTCCCTATCGATACTTTGACTTTCGTTTTCGAAACTCACGTTTCTCCAAACTCAGTCAAAGAGGGAGCTTCTGTAGACACCCAAATGTGTCTCCCCAAAATCAAACCTAGTGATGAATACCTTTCATGTCATTTGATTATCAAACAAAGCAAAAGTGTGAAAAGTCTAGTGATGAGGATGTTTTTATTAAAATATCTCTTCTTTCTGTTTTTGAAATTATTTCTTTTCTTACCCTATTTTTGAAAAACGTGCATTCCAGTTTAGTTTGGTCCATGATATGGGTCCAATAATGGTGTATTTTGATGGGTCTTTAAAAGTACTTTACAACGATATAATATAAGCCCAATTCCGATGAATAATGAGGATATGGCCAAAATACTAAACTGGGCTCGAACCGGATTTTACCTACGACCCAATGATCATGTGGAGGGTCCAAAGGTTTAATCCTATTCCTAAACAAATTAGGATTAATTAGAAGCTTCTATAAATTTTTAAAATATCTTAACTATCCTTTTTGAAAAGATAAGATTAAAGTATTTGAGTTAAATAAAAACTTTCCTTTTCTTAAATCCTAATTCTATTCGAATTTAAAGATGTTCAAAGACAGTCAGATTTTATTTTTTTTCCTCATAATATTTATCCAAATTTTATATGGTTTTATAGATCTTGAAATTATCTTTTCAATGATATATTATAATATTAAATCCGAGTTATAACGAAAAAGATATGAATGAGATAGGAAACTCTATCCAAAATTGATACCGTCCTACTATTTCGGCCATATCTTTTTATCTACAAAATATTTTAACCTGATTCTAATTGGGTTAGAATGTAGACTTCAAGAGTTTTCCAACGACATATTTTATTACTTATTTAGACTTCTAGATCAAAAGATATGATAAAAACAAAATCCGTAAAAACTGCTGTCCATCGAGTTCTATTTCGATTCGAATTCGGATTCTTTTCTTATTCTTCGACCCTCTTTTTTCTCTATAAATAGAGGTCATATCTCCTTTTTTTAAATCATCAATTCTCAACAATTATCAAATATCTTATTCTCTCTAGTTTTCAAGATCTCTTCTCTCTCACTCTTCTAAACCAACCCTTTTGCATACAAAATTCCGCATTCACAAGACCAAGAAACACCTAGCCAAGTTCGAAGTTGTTTTCGCCTGGACGTGAAAAGTATCAATTTCTGAGGGCTTGGTCCCAAATCTAGTCTAAAATTTCTTAGTCTCTCTTTTAATTATTTAATTTAATAGTTGTTTATTATTTTTCTTGAAGTTACTAACGTGTGTATTTTGTTATTAGAAAAAGATACGAGGCATCCAAGTAAATGTTTTAATTGATTTATTGATATTATGATATAGAAATCATATTTAGGGTGTTTTTATCTTCCTAGTATCATGTTTAGGGTAACAACTATAATTTTTAATATCAAATATGACAATTGTGTTTCCTGCGATGCTTCTTATTTTCTTCCTAATATCATGTTAGTATCATGTTAGGGTTAAAGCTTTGATTTTTAATGTTTAGTGACATGCTAGGGTTTGTTATTAATCTTGTTAGTATCATGTTAGGGTTAAAGCTTTGATTTTTAATGTTTAGTGACATGCTAGGGTTTGTTATTAATCTTGTTAGTATCATGCCTAGGATCTTGCTACTAATATGCTTTAACATTATTATGATTATTTTTATGATTTATGATTATAATTGTTATAATTATTTTTATGATGCTTATTTTTAATTATGATTGTTATGATTATAATTTTATTATTATGATTATTATTATTGTTTTGATTATTGTTATGTTGCTTGGTTATATTTATTGCTATTGCTTGATCACACTTTTTATGCATATTTAAAGGGAATTGGTACTTGTAATCACGCTTAATAAGATAATTAATAATTTTGTTTAGGGTAATTTGATTATAATTCAAGTGATCGCCAATAATAGCTTTATTTGCGCATTAATATTCAACCAACATAGATTAAACAGGTTTAGGGTAAACCTATTGATTGCATGTTAGTCAGAAAGCGCACATGAATTCGATCAGAATAAAGTAGAGGCCTATTATTAGGGCAGGTTCAATCTCTTTTAGGTTGAATTTGTACCTTCATCCCCAAACTACCATTTATGGTTCAAAACCTATTGGAGTTGACGATCTCCTAGATCGTTAAGGGGTGTAACCTTCACCATGTGAAAACTTTACAATTTCCTAAAACTTGTTGGCAACTCTTTTGCTCTATCTTCTTTCTCTTTGGACGCCACCGTACTTTAGTGTATGATCACAATGGGGTTCAAGTTAGGGATAATGCTTGAAATATTCCCTACAGACCTGTATTCCCGAACTTTATGAACAAAATACTTTAATTAGCCCAAAATTAGATTACCACAATACATATGATAAATTGTATTGTACGATTCGATTTTCTATATACAAAAAATATCAATCCAAAACAAAAGTCAAAATATTGACGCGAAACTATGATTACACGCAATAATTAGTGAAATATGAGGCCCATATGTTCCGCACTTCTTCAATATCATCATCAGTGTAAGGATCTTCATTTAAAGACTTGCAAACCTATGAACATGATAAAATATATATAGTAAGTCATCAAAGTAATTTTAATAACAATAATAATAATACTTCAATTATAAACTTCACTTACGCAAAAAATAATGGCATTTGGACAACAGTTGACTCGCATAGGTTCAAAAGTGTTTATATATGAATAATTCATTTGATGAGGTTCCCAACTTTGCAAAGGATGCGTACGAGGACGATATGGCAGGAAGTATTTAGAGCTTCTGATCACCAGACTACCTAGATTATGGGTGTAATGTTAATTGGATCTAGAATGTCAGTCGTGGTTTTTTTAACTAGTAGTATTGCAGTTAGGATGTTGGTCTTTTGTACTTTCAGTAAGTTAATTGTAGCCTTCATTAGCTTGGGAACCAGAGCATGGAAATGCTTGAGGACCCTTTTGTCTGTATGGTGAACACTATTTTTCTTTCATTAATTAATATCCTTTTCCAGTTAAAAAAAAGGTTATATATAAATAAAGTATTTTTTGACTTTTACCACAAAAAAAATCACGAAATTGTTTTTTTACTACCAAAAAATTTTAAAAGTCGTATTTTACCACCAAAAAAATTTCTAAAAATTGTTTTTTTTACCACCTACCGTCAAGAAAACCGTTAAATTTAACGATTTTAAGAAAAACTCTTCGATTTTCGTGCGCAAAACATGTTGCTCATAAGTTTAGGGAGGCATCTTGGCCCTACGGGTTCAATTTGAAGTCGGAATTGACAAAAAATAATCAACAATGCCTCGTTTTGCGTGTTTTCACACAAACTGAGGTATTTTTAAATGCACAAAAAGAAGCATTTTCGATCATTTTTTGTCGATTCCGACCTCAAATTGGACCCGTTAGGGCCAAAATGCCCCCCAAGACCACCCAAATATGATGTGTTTGACACAAAAATCGAAGAATTTAAAATATTCCGTTAGGTTTTTGACGGTAGGTGGTAAAAAAACAATTTTTAATTTTTTTTTGTGGTAAAATAAAACTTTTAAAATTTTTGGTAGTAAAAAACAATTTAGCGAATTATTTTTTGTGGTAAAAGTCAAAAAATCCATAAATAAAAGATTCATTTTGAATACTTTAGTAATGATAAGAATGAAAGGTCATACTCATACCTCATCAATATCATTTGCTTTACTGTGTTTGGAGAGTATGTCATACATGTATCTCATTGTGTAAAAGCCACACTCGATACCATCTCTTTGTTGAGCACACTAAGTAAAATTCAATAAAAAAAAAATAGATTAAGGTGTATAATTGTTTAAAGGGTACCAAAATAGATTACATGCATAAGATATTATCTAAAACATACTATTTACTTAGCTTCACAAGTTTCCATAGAGGTTCTTTTCTATTCACACGGTTTCCATTTAGCTTAAACCTCGTGAAAAAACTATTCATTTTCATTACAAAGGTAGAATTATAAGTATATTACTTGTTGCGTATGTCCTACATATAATGTATATATAGAAACAAGAAACAATAAAATAGACTTACAAGCTCACAATAGTCTTCATTTTAACACTTCTCCTTGTCGTTGTTGGGCGAGCAGAGTCAAATTGATAAATAATGCAAGTAGGTACACAAATTACCAAAAGCATCCAATGTTCCCTACGCCAAAAGGTAAGAATATTAAATTCATCACATGTATGTATACTTAAGTGGTACACTATATGGAACTTCGTTACTACGTACTTACTCTTGAAAAATTGGTGCCATAATGAATTTTGCCCGTTTTCAACTGATTTGCTTACTGCTTTGAAGACATAGTCATGAATTTCATGCAAGCTCTTACACATTTTGGTTTCACAAGTTTGCTCTGGACACAACCACCAAACCGCAAAAGCTTTGTCTTTTGATTTCAAATCTTGTTGAAGTAACCTGGATATACAAAATCAACTTAATGTTATGATAACAAGTTAGTGCATATAAACGCAAAATTTGTAATCATTATGACACAATGGCTTGCTTATTACCTCATGAATACTTGAATAATTGATATGTTCAGCTTCGCTCCTCTTAAGAAATGAGAGGCATCCTCCTTATCTACCCATGCAATCCCATCTTTTTCAAAATGGAATATAGTGAGATATTTTTGCGAACCTTTACCCCATATTTTGTCTTGTTTGGAATGTTAAACAATGTACCGAGAATGGCATCACACACATTCTTCTCTATATGCATGACATCTAAACAATGTCTGACAGGTAAATGTTGCCAATATTAAAGCTTCCAAAACACTGACTCCTTCCAAATGACCTAGGGATCGGTGGCTTTATTCAGTTTCCCAAACATCGTTTCAATACCTCTAACTTGATCATAAAATTCTGTTCCCATAATGGCATACGATCTATCCCCTCTTCTACCTTACCATTAAATGCAACTTTTTTCTTTCGGTAAGGATGCATCCTATCAAAGAACTTTCGAGTAGCTCTATATACATACTTCCCAGAATTTGGCAAATAGGTAGATTCTGTATTGTCTTCACATATTGGACATGCCTTCTTTCCCTTAATCTCATAGCCTGATAGATTACCATAAACTGGAAAGTCATTGATTGTACAATAAAGCATAGCTCACAAGGTAAAAGATTCATTATAATGAGCATCAAAAAATGAGATTCCTTTGTCCCACATTTTTTTCAAATCATCGATGAGTAGAGAAAGGTAGACATCAATATCGTTTTCGGGCTGCTTGGGACCTGATATCAGCAAAGGCATCATCATATATTTCCACTTCATACATAACCAAGGAGGAAGGTTATAAATAACCAAGAGAACTGGCCATGTGATGTGCCGTGTGCTCAAACTACCAAATGGGTTCATTCCATCCGTACATAGGGCAAGCCTAAGATTCCTTTCTTCTTTGCCAAATTCTAGAAATTGATTGTCAATAAGAGTCCATTTTGGAGAATCTGCCGGGTGTCCTAGAAGTCCACCTTTCTTCCTACAATCAACATGCCACCTTAAATTTTTTGCATCATTATTTAAAAATAATCACCGAAACCTTGGCATTATAGGCATATACCAAAGCACTTTGGAAGAAGGGCCTTTACTTCCCTCCCCGGATTGGACTCCATCGGGTAAATTGTAACAAGACTTATGGCATCGAGGACACTTATCCAAATGTGAAAATTCGTTTTGATACAATACACAATCATTAGGACAAGCATCTATTTTCTCATACACCAAACCAAACGGGCACATTAACTTCTTGGCATAGTAGGTCGACTTAGGCAATTCATGACCCTTCAGAAGCATATCTTGCATCGCTTCTAGCAAGGATGTAAAGCTTGCGTTAGACAAACCATGCTTTGATTTCAAGTTGAATAAGGTTGGCACAACGAATAAATTGCTATATGCAATACATCCAGGGTATAATTGCTTCTCAACTGCTTCAAACAATTTTTCAGATAAATGAGGTCGTTAATCAAATTCATGCTGAGCCCCCTTTATTCTTTCTTCTATAATGTCTTCCCTAATGTTATACTCCTCATCAAAGTCATTATCCTCATCTTGTTCAGATCCATTATCTCCTACCCCAACCATCTCATCATCATGAACATGTGGATGTTCAAGTTCAAGTTCAAGTTCAAGTTTGAGTTCGGCATTAGATTGCACATGTCGGTCATGCATTGAATGTAATGTAGAATTTCCCTGAACACTCCACTCTCACCGTGCCATAACCAATCATGATGTTGTTGCCGAAATCCGCGTTGAATAATATGGTCCCTAAGTGTGGTGATATTATGCACCCTTTCAACATATTGGCAATTGACGCAAGGACAATAAAATTCATCATCCTCTATGCTATTGATGATCTAAAACACCTTTGCAAAATTCCTCTACCCCACTGAAGAATTCGATCGAATTTCGTGGATCATACATCCAACTTCAATCCACATCTACATACCAACCACTACAAACACAATATTTTTGCAAAAGTAATATGTTAAAACATTGCAACTGATTCATCATATTTCAAACATAACCACAAGTAAGTTTCAAATGGACATATAAGCTTATGCAATTTTTACCAAACATAACATTTATTTTTAAGATCATATAATTAATACATAATACAAAGCCACTTGCAATAACCATATCATAGAAATAGTAGCTCATCAAGAATTAAAATAAATATGTGCATGACCAATACAAACTTATAAAGAAAAATATGAAAGGAAAGATAACGTACCAGAGTCACAATTAAAGGTAGTTAGTGCCAAGCTAGCAAGGACAAAAGTGATAAGATGTTTGGCCTTCACTTCTCATTTGTTCAACAAACTTCCTAGTAAAAAAAATGCATTAGAATAAAAATGTAACCAATTACACTAAATCATATCTCTTTTTAACGAAAAAAATGAAAAACAGAGAGGAAATGCATCATTTAAAATAAATTAACTACAACCATTGAGTCCTGAACTAATACCTTGGAGATGTTTTTAAGCGATAATTAATGAATCTCCATAGGTTTCAAGGAACGCAGCAATATCATCATCACTGTCACAGATAAAATGTATTAATCAAGGGAATACAACAATAATAACAGGGAGAGGCAAAACTGATGCTTTGAAGCTGGGCAATATATTCTGCCTAATATTCTGCTTAATACTAAATCCCTATTGTGATACATTGACTCTTGAAGGCAATGACTTTAATCAACTGCCTCTTTCATAACTCATACAATATAATACATACACCAGATACATCCTAATTATAAGCAAGCTCAATTCATGAAATCAATGGAGTAATAAAATGGGTTCCTAATATTCTCAATCACGAATGCAACAATTCACTAAACAAATCTAAAATCACACGCAAACCCAGTTCATTGAATCAACAGATTTAAATGGGTATCAAAATTGTCTCACAACAAATTACCAAATTCACATAAGCAGAAAATCAATTAAAATTAAAACCTAGAAGCAGCAGATGATAAGTCATTTATTTATGTACTTAACATTGCTTTTAATTATTATTTGAGTCCGATTTTATACACTTTTATATGGGTTTTATGCATAATTATTAAAAAGTATTAAAAGTAATGAACATAGTACTTAAGCCTAAATTTGTATTACTTTTGCAGGGAAGGAAGTATTGAGTTAATGAAGTAATGAAGCCATTTATATGCCCATACTTGTACGTGCCACAAATATTAAGGAACAAGAGTTTCGTGGTTGAATACCCACTATTCCACTGACTTTTAAATGCCCATGAGTCCACGACAAGTAATGGGTTTATAATTTACTAATTCTTAAGTCTTTAGTGGAGACAAATGGAGGAAAAACAAAACCCCCCTATTGTGACAATGGTAGAAGCGACAGCAATAGAACCAGGAGGAAACCCTCAGGAAACTCACTGATATAAGAGGGTAGCCACACAGCAGATTAAGGGGGGGACTTACACACACGGAGACGCAACAAGGCAGAGGAGACATACAGAGACAACGCAGCAGAGGAGTCAGACAAACAGCAGCACCTCGCGAGGGCCGTAACTGGACCGAGCTTGTAGCAGTGTTATTTCTTCCCTTAATTTTATGCAATTGACTGGTTTTTGCTTGATTTGATATGTTTAATGTTTACTCTTCAGACCAAGCAAATCGATAAAAATTAAAATATAGAAGCAGCCGACCAAGCTAGAATGAGCAAATTCTTGAAAAAAAATACCAAATTCACATAAGCAGCAAATCGATAAAAAATACTAAACAACCCAGAAGCAGCAGACCAAGCTAGAATGAGCAAATTCATGAAAAAAATCAGTACAACCTAGAAGCAACAAATTAATAAAAATAATAACAAATTCATACCTTTGGTTGTTCATCATCAGTAAGTTTTAAGTTATGACCAAATCAAAATTCCAAGACTGTATAATGATCATAATCAAATTCTAAGACTGTATAACCCAATTCCAACGGTAATTCAAGTTTTTATCGATTTTTGAGCTTTTTGATTGTTTGACTGCAACTGAACTAATACAGCAACAAAGATTATTTGAGCTTTTTTATTTTTCGAATGCAACTGAACTATTATAAAGTCAACCAAATATATACAACACAAAAGTTCATCATTCTAGCAATTTCGACAGCAACAGAAAAATTATAGCACCAATTTCATCAATCTACTAATTTTAAAGAACAAGTTGCAATGAGCAAATTCACCACAAATCCGAACAACCCAGAAGCAGCAAATTGATAAAATTAAAACCTAGAACAAGGTAGAAAGCCAATTCACGAAAAAATTAACCCAAAATGAGACTTTTTTTTTGCTTTAATGAGTTGTTTTTTCTAGCTTCAATAAACCGAACGATTGTGAAATTGACAGTCGATGAACACTAACTCAAATTGATACTCGTTGATTTACAAAAAAAAAATTAAAAATAAAAGTATTTACCTGTTTAGGGTTTCGTCCTACACTTCGATGGTGAGGCTGCGGGCCTGCGGCGGCCGTTTATAAAGACTGAGGCGGAGGAAACGGTCGGCGATGGTTGTGGAAAGTGAGATGGTGGAGAGTGAGGTGGTGGAGTTTGAAGTAAGAATGTTATTTTTTTTAATTATTTTTTTTATTTTCTTTACAGAAGAAGCAGAACATTGAAAGGGGGAAGGAGAGTGAAATGAATTAGGGTGGGTAAGGATGAGAGGGTTTAGGGTAAGGGGAAAATATTAATTTTCAGCGTATTCTTTAAAAAAAAACCCCTGCAAATTAATAGTTTTGATTTATGTACATTTAAATCCCATTTTAATTTGCAGTGTTTTAACAAAAATGTAGCAAATTAATAGCAGCAAATAAATATTTTACTAGTAGTGATAGAAGTAAATAGTTTTATTTAGTAGTGTTAATTATTACTAAAAAGCATACACAAAAACAGGTTATGAGTTCGTAATTTTGATTGCGTTTAGGGATAGTAATTACTCAATTATATGTAACGGTAAATTGTCCGGTAATGACTTTGTAAGTTGAAATTCCTATGTTGTATATGACAGTTTATGTAAATATTAAATTATGTGATTCAACAAATGTTATGATAATAAGTAAGTTTAATTACCATATTCAATCGATTTTTGTTTATAATGTATCAACCACCGTTATATAAAATAACATATTTTAACTCATAAACTTCTTACCTGGTAATTAAAGAGTCACATAGTAATTAAAAATTTGTGCCCCACCCATATATACCCGTTACTCCCACTATATAAAACCCACACTCCACTTCAACATTACAATGGCCACCTCAACCCAGTTTGTTCTAGTTGCTTCATCCTCTAAAAGTGTAAAAAAAAAAACCCTATAACCACAAGGAAGCTCAAAAATTCAAGAGAAGTCGTAGCTTGTTAAGAAACTTCATTCTCGAGCACGTAATTCTATAAGAAAAATAAACATCCCTCCTTACAGAAAAACGAAAACTTCTTCTGATCATTTCTTCAAAAGGTTTATCAAAATTGAGATACCCAAGCTTGGGCCGTCCACCAAACCTTCATCCCCGTCTGTTGTGACTCGGGAGGATGTGATGGCTCTACCAGCTGCCCCTGAAAATGTCAATGGTGAACCCCCAACTTTGCTGGATGAGGAACAGCCCCCAATGGTGGACACTGAACGTGCGGAAGAGGTTGGCGCTAAACTTGCTGAAGATGAAGATCCCGCTAAAGATGTGGCAGAGGAAGAGCCACCTGTTCTTGACATGAACCATTCTCCGCCACCACCTCCTATTGACGAAGATGTGGTGGTATACTCTATCGTTCTCCGTGGCCGTAATTCTGGGGATGTGGGGGGTACTGTACGACATCCGAAGCGACCACACCTTTGAATCTGTGATTGAAGACTATGCCAAAAGACTCGATTTGCAGCCTCATCAAATAATGATCTGGAAAGATGAAGAGTACGTCGGCCCGGAGGCCGTTGTTGGTGACGTAGGAGTTGAAACTAGGGATGTCATCTACGTGGTTGGGCGGGTAAAATAAACATCTATTACTCTAATTATTTTCATTTTGTCCTTAATTTATACGTTGATTGGCCGTGCACATGCAAAATTAAAATGGGGTAATGTCAATTATGTATAATTTCACAATTTCCTAAATATAAGTGTGCTCATTTGGTGGATATAGCTCCAAAAATATGACTGGTGCATAATTATATCAACCTAAACTCATAGTCTGAAATTAATGTTTATTAACATTAGGTAAACCAAAAATGTATAAGAAAAAAAAATTGCATAACATAAACAATAAAGAAAGTTGTACATGAGGAATAAAGGTAAATCAACATGATTTATGGTACGTGGATTTAATGAAACAAGGAAATGTAAATACTAATTCTGAAATAAATAAAATTATAGCTTTTGATATGTAAAAATGAAATATAGATATGTGTCAAGGGGTATAGGCCAAAATTACTATGGAACCCACATGTAATTTGGTAAGCCAAAATAACAAAATATTTGATTCTACCTTATTGTCGTATAAGTGCTAAAATGATTATATGAAATTGTGTTATATTAAACGGATATTTCACCAAATGCCCATTAGTTATTTTTTTATTCACCATATACCCATGAAAATTTTCAAATTCATCATATACACTTGAGTTTGACAAAAATGTCACCAAATGCCCAAATTACTAACGGACGTTAACTCCGTTAGTCATTAAGGGATAAAATTGCCACGTGGAAACTTGTGATTGCCTAACATTTATATTAATTAAATTTTAATATAATTATTTTATTAGCTATCAATAAATAAATAAAATTAAAAATTAAAAAAACCCACCCACCCACCATAGCCTAGCCCCGCCACCACCCAGCTCCACCACCACCACCTTGTCCCCGCCCTGCTAGTGGATGGGCCTAAACCCCAGCGCCGGCGCTAATCCGAACCTGACACCCCATTTGGCGGTCCCCCTTTTGCTTCCCTTGAACCACCCATGCCTTAATCCCAAAAACACCTTCATCTCCCCCTCAAAACCCCTCCCCTCCCCACCTTCGGCGTCCACTCTCTCATACCCGCACCGCAAGCGAACCAAAACCAACCCTGCCCTTGTCATCTCCATCCCCTAAATCATCTCACAGAAACCCTAAAATAAAAAACCCCCAAAATTAAAATCCTAGATTTTAATTTTTAAGGAATCAATTTTTTTATTTTGGGGTTTTTGTGAGTGTTTTTTGTGAGAGTAAAATGGATTAAAGGATTGCTATGAGCGTCGGTCGTCTTTGGCGGGGGAGGGAGCAGGGCTGCTACTTGCTGGGGTTCATTGATTCCAGCACTGGAGCAAGGAGGGGTCGAGGTTGCGCTGAAGGAGAAAGAAAGCTATGCATTTAGGGGTCTCAGGGAGGGTGAGGATGTTAGGGAGAGTTCGCCGGCGGGGAACGAGCCTTACATCAGCGGCAGGGGCCAGGGAACTTGGTAGGGGCTGACCGGTGCCGATGACGTCGGCTGGCTGGTGGGGTTAGGGGTAATGGAATGGTTTTTTTTTTGTGAAATTTTTTAAATTTTTTTTTTAATTTCTTAATTTTATTTATAATTAATGAAATAATTTTAAAAAAATATCTAATCAGGTGATGTCACATGGCATAATTAGCCCTAATGACTAACGGAGCTAACCACCGTCAGTCATTAAGGGCATTTGGTGATATTTTTGTAAAACTCATGGGTATATGGTGAATTTCAAAATTTTCATGGGTATACGGTGAACAAATAAATAACTCAGGAACATTTGGTGAAAAATCCGTACATTAAATTGTACTTGAAATACTTAACCTTTGATTTGATTTAGGTCGTAACGTGGTCTTTTAAATTCAATTGAAACACAGGTTTCAAAATGCCTATAAAATGTAACCACATTACAAAGTTAGGTTGTTGACCTTCTGTGAGTTGGGCTAGGATGTTGAGACTTTGTGTGAAGGAATAGTTGGTTTGTTGGCGTTTTTGTTGGGGTGATCTGTTTAGGATAGGTCTAAAGGAATAGTTGGGCTATTGGTCTTCTATCAGTTGGCTGGGTTGTTGAGACTTTTGTGGGACCAAGTGTCCATGAGCAAGTAGGCTAAGTCAGATTACACTGTCCCATCACTTAGGGTTCACACGTACTGGGTTTTATATTTTTGGCCTTCATATATTTGGGGTTTATATCTTTAGGAAAGTTTTTTGGCCATCACATATTTGGCCTTTCATTTTTTTGGGCTTTATATCTTTGGCCAACAACATTTTTTGCCTATATATATTAGGGAACTCCTAGAAATATTTTATATATGTTTGTAATAAATGTAAGGCTCTAATATTATTGGGCTTTATAATTTTTGATGACATTATTGGGGCAGGCCAGTGTGATCAACATCAACACAAGGATAAATTGATTCTACATCAAATACACGAGGCACCGTCGCAAGTTCAAGCTCCAGGTGTAGAGAAAACTCGACACCCCATTGTGCAAGCTATTTCACATCTATGCCAAGGTGGTAAAAGTAGATCCCACGACTTTGCTATTCATGCATGAAGACGTTGTAATCAGACCAGTGGACACTTTTCGCTAAGCAGAAATCTAGAATGGGGACAAGGTTGTAACCCTTCCTAATTACACCAACTGCACCAACTGAGCTATGATGCTAATCTAAACCGCAATTGCGTTGGGATTGTAGCATTTTGAATGAATTGTAATGCTTATTTGTGGAACATTTTGTTTTCTGGGTCTTGTATTTATAAGAAACCAATAAGCACAGTCTGTGATTTGTGAATGGTCTTTTGTGGATGTCCACAAGCTCTAGCAACCATCCATACGGATGATTCAAACCTTGGATTGCGGTTTTAGGTGGTAAGGGTTTTAAAGTGTTTGTAAATAGGTGACTCCGTGGAAGGTATTTGTAAGGTATGTGTGTGCTGTTGAGGAGTGATCGTATAATACAGTTGCCCTGTTGCTGAAATAATGTTTTCAATACAGTCTTACTACTACAATTGCCTTTGCTAATCATAAAGACTAAAAACATGTGAAGCTGTCAATTATATGTGTTTGGGTCAATGTGGAAATGGCCCAATGCCAAGTGTAGAAGTGGGGATGACATATGCAATTAAATTGGAGTACAACAATTACTCTAGAGAGTAGAACAATTACTCTTTAAAATTTTTTAATCATATTCACATTTCACAAACAATTGGAATTATTTTTTCCCGTCAATTATATTTTTTATATTCAAATCGGAATGCTATTAACATACCTAAATTATATTATTAAACACTTCAATTATTTTTTTGATATAAACCTAACTCATATAGTGTGACAATTGGCCCAACACATTGGGCCAACATTGGCCGAATAGTGTCAGCATTGTGTTCACAGTGGACCAACGACCTAATCCACACTGAACAACTGACACAGTGCTGACCATCTACCATAACACCTATCACCAAAACTAGGGTAATAATCAGCATACTCAGTAGAGTTAGCTGAAAACATCAAGGGAATTAAGACTACACAAACAATGGACATAATACATTAGCTCCTACATTATAAGACCACTCCTCAATAATGATAAGTAGTAGCTGATACTCGTTTATCTACAATGCGGTCACACAAAAGTCACATTATGCATTACTACAATTACTCCTACATAAGCATCAGAATGAATGTTCCAAAAGTGACAAGTTCCATTTGACCCATCTGCAACTGCCTCAAAATGACCAACATGTTCATACAAAATAACCAAACTACAATGTGACTTTATTTAATTAAACCCACATACACAAAATAAACATAAGTAAATTCATTTGATGAGCATTGTCAAAACTCGTACGAATTTGAGTTATCAGAATCTATGAGTTCTTCCACCATATCAAGATCAACACAATCCTCATACAGGGC